GGCCCTAAACACAATGTTTGTAGTGAGTTCGCTCTCAAGTCCTTTGGTCTATAGAAATGTTGTCTGCCGTGACTGTGGACGTTCCTGTTATCTTGCAGTTCTTTAAGGATTATAAAGACAATGATTTTCACTTTTACAACTTTCTAAATATATATGCTGGACATGTGTGTCAGGATTTTGCAAATTCTTGATTAACATGCATCCTAAATGCTAACAGATGGTTGGCAACATAACCAACAAAAATTTTACTAAGCTTCTTCTCATTAATACAAACAGTTTGAATTATTGCCATCTTCCATGTATTCTAGAATATTCCTTTAGTCCCCTTCTCTCAGGGAAATAATTTGTTAAATAAATAAACATTCACTCTAGAAATGGAGAAAACAAGCTTTATTATAATGATTTGAGATTTTTTGTGCATGGTAAAGATATACACGAGTCTTGTTTCTCCTATGTTTCAAGACAGAATTAATTTAAAGTTTTATTGTAGACTAAAGCATCCAAAATACTGTGGTACGTATGTAGCTACGAACATACAAACACTTTGATGCACAGCGTTCATTCTTTAAATAGGCAGTCAGCATTTTGATTCATAAAGTAACAAATGATAAGAATATATCAGTATCAATGTCAGAGAGTGCAAGACTTAGTGTTCTATACACAAAACATATGAAACGGACCTATAAAGATGGAATGTACAAAATCTAAAAAGAAAACGAAGCAAAAAACCTTCATACTCATACCTTGGATTGAAAGGCTATAGAGATGAGAATGATACAAAAGAATTCTGTTATGAGAATACACTGTTGTGCTGGGGAGTAGCTCAGTGGTAGAGCGCTTGACTACCATGCGCGAGGCCCTGGGTTTGATCCCCAGCACTGCAAAAAAAACCAAAAACACTCTTGATGACAGAACATTCCCCATGTCATAAAGCAAAAGCATTGAGTTGAGTTTAAGGCTGTGTTGCTTTCAAAAGTTAATGGAAGTGCTGTACATTCATTGGAACAACATAGCCAATTTATTAACCTATTCTAGAATATCAATAGCTTTCATACATTCTCCACAAACAGATCACACAATCACTGCCACACAATTCATCTTTAGAAAGTTTTTAAGATTAGCATCATGATTTGTAGCTTACTGTCATTTAAAACAAAATGAAAAAGTATTTATACCAAATAAATCTTTAATGGGCACTTAGTTTCCTTTATGGCAACGCTAGATTCCTAGATATCAAAAATATTAAAAATAATTGTAAAGTTTAAAACCCTGCAACATTTACAGAAAGCAACAGTATTATACGACTTCCGGTTAAAGCAAAATTAGATAAGGTCTGCATCAAATAGCTTCAATTTTATCCTGCCTGGAAATGCCTTGTTTTAAAATTATTCAACTAAAAACACTCCTCCCTTTTCAGAAGCTGGTGAATAGAGAGGATGTCATAGTATCCAAATGTACAAAAAGATTTTTCCCATTTGAAGTGATCTGCAGATTATTTGCTGTTGACTTGCTGTTTCCTCCAATTTATTCAGTAGGTATTACCTAAGCATTTATGTTGACCCTTCAGTATGAGGATCCATAGATACTAAGTAAGGTACTACTATTCCAGTTAATTCCATTCTAGGATACCCTGTATATTTAGTAGTGGAAGCAAGTGTGCAATAGTTGCATGGATCTGGGGTATTAATTGGCCTCAAATCTAGTCATAAGGAAACCTGGAGACTTGTTTAATTATGGGGTCTAAAACTTCACCAAAATACTATATGCCATTAAAAAAATGGCAAACACAGTCATAAAGGCTTTTTATTTATGTGTTTCAGGATGGTCAAGTAACTCCCTCCATCCCCATGTCCAGCAGGGGAGGTCTGTATTGGGGGAAAATGCATCGTCACTGACCTTCAAATCCTAATTGGCAATACTATGCCATAAGTGCCCAGGGGAATTTTGAGTGAGTACTTTCTCAGTGCTACTTATCATGAATGTATGACAGGTTCTATACACTTGACAAAGCGAAACCAAATAATAATGGTAGCCCAGAATAAAAGCCACTTATTTTAATATCCTTCTCAGTTTACCAGAAACCATTTTCTATAGAATGTGACAAAATTTCATTTAAATCTTATCTATTTGTATCTTATCAGCAGCACTTTCTCCCCAAAATATGCTCACCAGAAATACAGTAAATGCACATATGTATCCAGGTATGAAATGTTATCTATATTTTAATATATATGATTACATATTTTGGGGGAAAAATATAGTGTTTCCTGGAGTGCCCATAGCATAGGTTTAGTTAAGAGACAGTGGAACAGGTCCAAATCAAACTATCTATATTCCATTCCGGTTTGTGCCAAAATTGACATGGAAATAAATTAACTATGTATTTAGATACTTGGCCTGATATGATATGATGGCGGCTGATTAATTTTTAAATTCATTTCTAAGTTCACAAATACTTCAAAAAAAAAAAAAAGAAAAAAGAAAAAAAAAACCCTCTGTAGGTAAACTAGTTTTAAAATCAATAGTCTAGGGCTGGGGATGTAGCTCAATGGTAGAGCATTTACCTAGTATGTCAAGGCCCTGGTTCAGTCCCCAGCACTGCAAAGCCAGAGAAACAAACAAACAAACAAAAAACCCCAACAGTCTGTGATAGAATTTAAATAGGAAGCCATTTACACTTATGAAAATAAACTAAAATTAACAACCAATTTAAAAGGTTTTCTTTTAAATAGTCCAGGAACTATTAAGAGTCTAGCCTCCCTTTTAGGCAGAACATTTTACAGTAAATGGCAAAATGAAATTCCTTTCCCCAGGATGTAAACTCCGAGGGGACAGGGATGTTTTTGTTTGTTTTATCTATTAGTCTATTCCCAGTGCCTAGAAGAGTGCCTAGAACCTAGAAGGGACTCTGTAAATAGGAACATTTCAATTCAAAGGCTTGGGCTGCAGGTGCAGCTCAGTGGTAGAACTGGCGCTTACATTTGCAATTTCCAGCACCAAGAAAAAAATTTAAAAAAAAAAATCAAAGACTTATTTCACTGGCATTAGGAAACAAACAATGTCTTAGTTTAACATTCTAAAAATTTTATTGGATTTTATAACTTCATCACACAGACTTGATAATTCAAAAACTAAAAAATTTAAAAAAAATAAAAAAATACTAAACCTAAATGTTTCTCTTTCTGAAAAAGCTTTTTTTTTTTTTTTTTCAGAGCTGATCTGGGCATAATAAATTTAATGGGCAACTGGAAGTTGCTAGATTCCCTTCCAAATTTTAAAAAGTCCTATATAGAGGATGGCTGAATTTTAAATTAATAAGCAATAAGCATCACATTCATATAATAATACATACAGGAAATGTTTTCTTATAGTACAAGTTCTAAGGTGCTTTTAATGAAAAAGATCCCAAAGTCATTATTGAAAGCATCAAACATGACATCCTGTTTGGTAGAACTGAGTAGAAAATTAAACAGTGGAAACAGACTGCATCTTATTTTACAGTATCAATGACAAGATTGACTAAATTGTTCTTAACATTTCTCAAAATGCATTTATACTTAGTTCAGATGTAAGTCCAGTTCAACTTTTATTTTGACCTGTTTTTCTTATTTTTCTGCTCTTTTGAAAACACAAGACGATCAGCCACCACCATCATTCCCGGGAAATGGCAAACATCAAACCTGTGTTAGGGCTTGCTCCACAAGGACGGCTTGAGCTGCATTAGTAAAGGAATGTGCTGAAGAATGGCTGGACAGAATGCTTCTGTCTTTCAGAGTGCTGCCTATTTCAATACACCAAAGCTATATATATATTTATATTATACATTCTATCTTACCCTAATCATGTATACATAGTCCCTTGATACCTCTACTATTCATTGAACAATGATAAATAACCATAACATGCTCTTACCTGTAATGCTCTCGAGATAACAGAACTTTGGTAACACTCGCTAAGGGGAAATCATTAATCAATCCACATGCCTTTGGTTGACACCATCGGTCCTCCAAAGGGCTGCTTATGGCTCTCTGTCCTAGGATACTGGTGTCCTACTACATGTGCTGACATTTTGCAGAAGGTAAAGCTCTTGCTTTCATGAAGTGGAAGAGGAAAGAAAGACACATGTGAAAACATGGCACAGATAAAACGTGACCTTTTCTTGATTACGTTCCAGTATATTCATCTGGAGTTAATGGGGCTATTCGTTGACTGAAAGGTAGTATTACTTCTGTAAGATGATTTTTCAAAGCATCAGAGATTTTCAGGTTTCTCGGAAAATGTACTTTGTTTTCTGATACCAGGTGAGTAGGAAAGAGAAGGTGAAAAGAACAGACAGAAAGGATCTTTGATCTAACCCAGAAAGGCTGGGAAATCTGCATTGACTCTCAAGTGTTGTCTGCAAATCAGAGCTGGGAGGATTTTGCAAGACAGCCTCAATTTTTTTTTTTCTGAAGTAAGTAATATGTAGTTGTCGATTACCAGCTCCCCCCCCCCCCCGCCAAAGAAGGAAAGAAAGAAAGAAAGAAATAAAAAAACATACTGTAAAAGTGAGGTTAGAAGGTTCCGCAGGTCTTCTGACCTGGGTTAAATAAAGTATATAAGGACGACAGAATTTGTTTTTGGAAGCTCTGCGCAAAGGCTATCATTCACAGGATTAACAAATATTTTTACATATGCTAGTTTTTGTTTAATGTTTGTTTGATTTGCAAAATTAATTTAACTACATAAATCCCTGTCCTATAAGCCATAGTTCACAGGTGTAAAACTTCGCAGTTTGTATATTCAGTAGAAGACTTTTTTTTTTTAAACCCTAATGGTGAATTCTAGAAATTGGATGAGCAGTTTTTTAAGGAAATTGTTACATTCAGAAATAACCATGGAAAGTTCATCAAAGATTCCTTCTAGCATGAAAAGTCTAGTCATAATCTGGTCCCGGGTGGAGAAATCCATTCCAGTTTATAGTGCAAGACCGTCTTGAGGGGACATCCGGCTGGCCACCGTTACTGTAGGTATCGATAGACCTTGAAACAGTGATTTCCAGAGTCTGCAACCACAACATGGCCGTCTGAAGTTAGGGCTAGGCCTTGGGGGCCGTAGAGCGGGTCAGCAGATGTGTTAATGTAGGACAAAAACGATCCACTCCCATCAAACACCTGTAAAAACAAAAAGCCAGATCATCAGGGAAGACGTGATGGTAATGTGCTGAAATACGGTTTACAGAACGCTGGATGCTAACGACTTTAATATAAAAGTGTGTGTTCATCTCTAAGTTTTCTTAGGCCCTCTGGGCATAGCCCTTCCCTCCACTTATTCTTTCCTTGCTTCTCCTCCTGCCTCTCTTTACACTCAGAGTCACTGATAGAGAACACGCCCCTGGCTGCCAGATCTCCCTTGGATTCTGAAACTAGTCGCACAAGGATTTGGTGGGGACGGCACTGGATAGTGCTTAAAAAATGAAATGACCCTTATTTTTCAGCTTTTCCTTCCAACTTTAAATCTCCACCTCATGCCCACTCTTGTTTTGTTTTGGGTATTGGGGATTGAATTCAGGGGCACTTGACTACTGAGCCACATCCCTATTTTGTATTTTATTTAGAGACAGGGTCTCACTGAGTTGCCTAGCGCCTCATCTTTGCTGAGGCTGGCTTTGAACTTGTGATCCTCCTGCCTCAGCCTCCTGAGGTGCTGGAATTATGGGTGTGGACCATCTCACCTGGCTCACGCCCACTCTTACAGGAGAAAAATCAGCAACTAGATCAAAGAATGATCCTGAGTCACAATGGGCTATGGCAAAAATCGAGATTTCTTTTTGCTTTTCCCAAAAAAGAATAAATTGTAAGAAGTCCATGGTTCAATGTGTATGTTTAGATATGAAAAAGGTCTTCTTTTTGGTTAATAACCTTCTTATAAAATAAAAGGAACAAATTGATGTCCCTATGCTTTTTCTTTACCAGAGCCAGGCTGGTTTGTTTTGACCATATACCACTTTCTTTGGCCCACATGGCATTTTTGTTGTTGTTGTTGTTGTTTTTGGTAGTGATTTAACTAAGGATTGAATCTAGGAGCATTCCATCACTGACACATATCCCCAGGCCTTTTTTAATTTTTTTGAGAGAGGGTCTCTCTAAATTGCTTGGGGCCTTGCTAAGTTGCTGAGGCTGGCTTTGAACTTGTGATCCTCCTGCCTCAGTCTCCAGAGTCACTGGGATTTATAGGCATGTGTCACCACCTCCGCTGGCCCACTTCGTGTTTTAAAAGGCAGTGTAACTAGTGGTGCTATGAGGGCCACAATTTTTAGCACTGATAGTCCCATATAGTCCTATTTAGTGAACTTGGTTTATTTTTGTGGTACATTAGACCCTTGACATAGTTCTCATGAGATAGAGAATATCTCTTTCAATATAGATGTCCTCTGGGATAATTAAGCAAGGTAAGTAAGTATATTGGAGAAATCAAAGTATTTGTGTTACATTTATAGTCTCAATTTTTTTCCTGAGAAGTACCTGTTTCATATTCAAACTGATGATGGAAGCTGTCCTCACAGAGACACCTGAAAGTGGCTGGATTTGACAGTGCACTCTGGGTTTTCAGAAACACATAGGGCCACATTAGCAAGGATGAATAGTGCCATCTGGAAATATGTATTTACATCCATGAAGGTATGAACACAGAGAAACTAGAGAACAGTCTTCCTTCAACTTGAGGATCCAAAAGCTTTGTTCTTAATGTAAAGAATTATGTTTTAGTGCTTTTTTTCCATTTCTGGAATGTAACCAGTTTTGTTTTGTTTTTAATATTCAACCAAAATGCCAGATGCCATTCTGTTATTCCTAAGCCATGCAAACATAAATTCATTACTGTTATTATAGAATTGTTAATATTTTACTTTGAAATAACTAGATTCACAGGAAGTTACAAAGACAGTAGTAAGAAGTCCTGTTTATCCTTCATCCGGTTCCCCGAATGCTTCTGTCTTCTCCACTTACTCTGCCACATAAAACTCAACAAATTGACTAAGATATATGCATATAGATTGTATGTTATTTTATCATGTGTACAGATTTGTGTAACCACCACTAAAATCAACAGAACTATTACATCCTCATGAAGACCTTACTCTTGCTACTCCTTGAGAGTTACCCAACTTCCCTGGCCCCGCTGCCCTCACAACCGCTACTCTTTTTTTCCCTCTCTATAATTTTGTCATTTTTAGAATGTTACATAAATGGAATCACGTGGTATGTGAACTTTTCAAAGTGGCTTTTTCACTCACCACAATGCCCTTGAGATGCATCCACCTATTGAGTGAATCATTAGCCTATTTTAAATGCTGAGTAGTATTCCATAGTGTGGAAATATCACAACTTGTTTAGCCATAAATCTACTGAGGGACATCTTGGTTAATTCAGTTTGGAGCTATTACAAATTACGTTCTATGAATGACAGCATATAAGCTTTTATGTGGACATAGTTTTCACTTTTCTGGGATACACTCCCAGGAAAGCAACTTCTGGGTTGCATAGTAAGTATATGTTTATAGTTTTTTTTAAAGAAACTGCCAAACGGGCTGGGGAGGTGGCTCAAGCAGTAGCGCGCTCGCCTGGCATGCTCGGGGCGTTGGGTTCAATCCTCAGCACCACATAAAATAAAATAAAGATGTTGTGTCCACCCGAAAACTGAAAAAATAAATATTAAAAATTCTCTCTCTCTCTTTAAAAAAAAAAGAAACTGCCAAACTATTTTCAAGGTTGATTGTGCTATTATGTGTTCCCACTAGCAATGTAGTAGTGATCTAATTTCTCCACATTCTCACCGGTATTTGGCATTATCAATAGTTTTAATTTTAGCTGTTCAAATATGATTGCAATAGTACCTCATCATGGTCTTAATTTGCACTTTTCTAATGTCTAATGATGTTGAACATCTTTTCATGTGTATATTGATTCAATGAAACTTCTCTTTATCTCTCTTGTCTACTTTCTAATTAGTGTATCTAGTGGTGCTATGAGGGCCACTATGGTTATTTTATTGTTGAGTTCTGAGAATCCTTTTTTCTTTTTTTGGGTACCAAGGATTGAACCCAAGGGTGTTTGACCCCCAAGTCATATCCCCCGACTATTTTTATATTTTATTTAGAGACAGGGTTTCCCTAAGTTGCTTACAGCCCTAAGTTGCTGAGGCTGGCTTTGAATTCATAATCCTCCTGCCTCAGCCTCCAGAGCTGCTGGGATTACAGGCATGTGTCACTGCACCTGGCAGTTCTGAGTCTTTACACACACAAGGTGTAAGCCCTTCATCAGGAGTGTGGTTTGTATATGTGAAAGCTAGAGAGGAAAAAGGGAAAGAAAGGGTGGGGAAGGGGGTCTCATGAAAATCAAAGAGAAATAATAAAACAGGAAAGGGAACAGGGAATGGGAGGATGAGGGAGGGCAGGGGTGACATACTGGGGACTGATATTAACCAAATTATATCATTACACTGTGTGCATGTTTGACTATGTAACAACAAACTCTATGATTATGTATAACTATAATGCACCAATAAAAAAAGTGGGGAAAAAATGTGGTTTGTAAATATTTTCTCCCATGTCTGTTTGCCTCTATTTTTAGCCTTATCTCTTTCACAGATCCAGATGTTTATGTTTGATGAAGTCTAATTTATTCTACTTTCCCCCCTAGGCATAGTTAAAAACCTTTTCACCAAGCTCTAGGTCTCCAAGAGTTTCTTAAAATCTTTTAAAAGTTTGTTTTCTAAAACTCCAATCTCCTAGCTTTCCATTTAAACCTATGATCCATTTTGAGATAACTTTTTTATAAGATGAGATTTATTTATTTTGCCTCAGTGGTTATCTTATTTGCGACAGCCCCATTTGTTGAAAAGGGTGTCTTTGATTCATCCATTAAATTGCTCTTATGTCTTCCTCAAAAAAATCAGTTGGCCATATGTGTGGGGGGACTACTTCTGGATTGTGTCCTGTGGATGTGTCTTCCACTAGTACCACACAGGCTTGATTAATGTAGGTATATAGAAATATATATACCTGCCACCAATACCACACAGGCTTGATTAATGCAGGTATATAGAAATCCGGGGAAGCAATTCCTCTCAATTTATTTTTCTTTTTCAATATTGTTGTAGCTATTCCTGTTTCTTTGCTTTGCCATATAAATATTAAAATAATCTTGTTTGTTATCTACAAAAAAATACTGCTTAGATTTTGTGTTAAAAACCTGTATATTAATCGGAGTCAGTTGATGGTGCTTCATGTTGATCCATCCCTGTTGAGTCTTGTCATCCATGAACATCCTTTATCAATCCCTTTATTATTTAATCTTCTTTTATCAGCATTTTATAGTTTTCAGCATATAAATACTGGATATATTTTGTTATTATTCCTAAATATTTCAATTTTTCTTTTTCTTTTGCAATTGTCAGTGGTATTGTATTTTGAATTTTTGGCTTCCATGTGCTCATTGGAAGCACATTAGTACAGCTGATTTTTGTTATGTCGATCTGGTATTCTGTGATCTGGCTCAACTCCCCTATTAGTTCTAGGAAACTTTTAGAGATTCCTTGGCATTTTTCATGTAAATGATCCTTTATCTGCGAACATGCAAAGTTTTAAATTTCCTCCTTTCCAACTTGTAAGCTTTTCATTTCCTGTTTCTTCTTTATTGTGCTGGCTGAACCTTCTGGTACTATGTTGGATAAGGATGGTGAGGACAGATATCCTTGCTTAGTCCCCGACCATACACGAAAGGTGTTTCACCCAAGAGAAAGCTGCTAACCAAAGGTTTCACAGATGTTCTTTATCAAGTAGTGAAAGAGTCTCTATTCCATCATGAAAGTGTATCAACTGTTGTCAAATGTTTTTTCTGCATTAATTAATATCATAATTTTTCTCCTTTAGACTTATAATATGGTGGATTAATATTGACTGATTTTTAAATTCTAAGCTGGCCCTGCATCCCTGGAATAAACTCTACTTGGTCATAGAGGGATTTTTACATATTGCTGAATTCCATTTCTCAGTATTTTATTAAAAATTCTGGGATGAACACAGTATATTTATGAGGAATACGTATGTCTGTAGTTTTGTTTTTTGTATTATCTGTGTCTGATTTTGCTATCACAACTTCAGCAGCAGGATTGAAAGTGAGTTGGGAAAGTGTTTCCTTGTTTTCTCTTTTCTGGAAGAAACTATGTAGAATTAGCATTAATTTTTCTTTAAACAGTTAGTAGAATTCTTCAGTGAAACCCTTTGAGCCCTGACATTTCTTTTTGGAGAGTTTGAAAATTATGAATTAAATTTCCTTAACAGTTATAGGGCTATTCAAATTATTTATTTCATACTGGGTGAGTTATGGAGTTGTACTTTCTGACAAATTGTCCATTTTATCTAAGCTGTTAAATCTGTAATATGTAGAGTGTTTACAGAATTCTCTCTCTCTTTTTTTGGTAGCAGGGATTGAACCCAGGAGCACTTAACCACTAAGTCACATCCCCAGCCCTTTTAATATTTCATTTAGAGACAGAGTCTAAGTTGCTTAGGACCTTGCTAAGTTGCTGAGGCTGGCTTTGAACTTCCAATCCTCTTGCCTCTGGGAATACAAGCATGCACCACTGCACCTGGCTTATGTGTGCTTTTTAAATTGAAACACTAAATAACAAGGAATAGCTAAAGGCTTAATAATTACTATAATTTTATGGTAATGATGAGTATAAGTGACAACTGGGGGTGTCTGCATCAAATGTAATGTGACATAAAAATTTCTTTTGATTTTTTCTTGGTGACAAAATCATAGGTATTACTAAAACTACTGCGGATTGTTACCTTAGATTGTTAACAAATAAAGGGAAATGACAATTTTCACTCAGAAATTAGTAAAAATAATAATGTAGTATTTATGCTCAATGAATCTTTTGAATTCCATCCATAAATGAACCTAAATTGGGGTTCTATGGGATCCACGTTTAAAGCCCTGAAATAGAGGATCTCCTGCTGTAGGCACGTGCCTTTGGTCTAGTCCAGCTTGCATTGTTTGGTCCTTCTGGTGACTTAACCAGTGGAGAAGGGAAAACACCCCCAATCTGGGGGAAAGCCAGTTCTTCTTCATTTTGAACAAAGCCTAACATCTAACCATATACATGATTAGTGTTCAGTGTACCTGGATCCTGCTGTTTCCCCAGTCTGCCACAATGATGTTTCCATTCGAATCCACTGCTACACCTGTGGGGGCATTAAACTGCCCATTTCCTTCTCCGTTGGAGCCAAACTTCAACATGAATTCTCCTTCCTGATTAAACACCTGTGGAAATATTTTTAAATTGTTTTACATTAAAATCATGGACCCAACATCAGGGACTTAAAAAATATCTCTCTGAACAGGTTACTTGCAACAAAACCTGTAATAAAAGGCATTCTGGGGGGAAAAAAGTAAATCTACAAACTGAAGCTGTCTATCACTTATGGTTCTTCAACGTACTACAGAAACCTGATTCATAATTTATTTAAGTCACTCTTCTCTTTTTTACAGTTTATATCTAGTTATTAAGTACTGATGTGAAAAATACTTTTGTTATAAATCATAAAATACAAATATAAGGTGGTATGAGTAAGTAGAGCTATAATTTTCAGCAATATTATTCTTTCTGACTTAAACAGCTCCATTTCAAGAATGGACATTGTATTTCCAGTGGGATAGAAAGTCATTCAGTTTAGACCAGAGAGGGGGTTTTTGTTAGGTCAGAAAGCTCAGAATCTATTACTGTTTTCCTACATCACATAACAAGAAAGAGGAGACTGGACTCCATACAAGAGGAGATTCAGAGTGTGTGTGCGTGTGTATGCACAGCCACTTGCACAATGGTAGCAGGTGAAGAGTAAGCAAAGGACTTACTCCAGTTAATATAGGTAGTCTATATGATTCTAAGGCTTTGACAAACAGAACCTACAGAGATTGTTAGAAGTGAGGGGATAAATAGAACGCTTTTTTCTTTTTGGTACTGAGGATTGAACTCAGGGGCACTTAACCACTGAGGCCCATCCTCAGCCCTTTTTTATATTTCATTAAGAGAGTCTTGCTGAGTTGCTTAGGGCTTCGCTAAGTTGCTGAGGCTGGCTTTGAATTCGTGATCAAGCAATGGGATTTGCTGTGGTTAAGTAAATATTTTTATTAATACAGTGTTACTATGTTTTTTATATATATGTATGTTTGTGTATGTGTGTATACATATTTTATATATATTATATATAATACAGAATACTGATTTTGAGATAATTAACATTTTAATGTGTTAATGTTATCATTAACATTTTAATGATAACACTACAGTAAATATAATTCTATCTTGATGCTTAGATGATACTTAATGGTTCTGAAATGTCTCTTGAGACTTTATTTTAAACATCCATCACCATGATGTCTAGATGCACAGAGATAGTCACTAACAAATCCAAAAGGACTACACTCCAGGTACCTTTAGAGTAGAGATGACTTAAATGTGGCCTGAGAAAGTTCACCATATGTGAGCGTAGATCTAATTTGAGGATGAGCTCAGGACCTTTGAGGACCTCTTTGGTTCTTCACAAAGAACAGACATAAGAACAACCAGCTTTCACTATGGTGTTTTGCCGCAGTCTGGCTGGGCACAAATGCCGCAGTCTGGCTGGGCACACAATCACGAGCCACCACACAGCTTGTAGATTCAAACAGCAACTCTTTATTCCCGAACTCACACCAGCCGTCTACAATCACGTTCTGGGGAAATCCACGTTCTCTGCCCAAATCCACGTTCTCTGCCCAAATTCACCTCCACTGGGCTTCTATCTCCCAAATATACTGTCAGAATCCCATGAGAACTCAAGGGGAACTCAGGCAGCAGGATACGCCCTATTCCCAGGAGGAATAATCTTAAACCTTAAACCTGGAACCTAAACTGGGAACGCCCTAAACACGATTATCTTAAACCCGGAACACCCTAATCCACCCTGGTCCTTGAGCAAGGTCACCTACATTCAATGTCACTGCAACATGGGGTACTCTGGCAAGGAAATTGTCATACCTACTTACTTGGCTAATGGTTCCCAGCAGTGTTTTCCTTGACTGAAGGCTGGGGTGTGGTTCAGTGGTACAGAACTTGCCTAGCACGTTCCAGGACCTGGGTTTAATTTCCGGCACACACAACCCCTCTACCTCCCCAAAAATAAAGCATAAAAAAAGTACCCTGACTCTTTCTGTCACCTTTTATCCACATCCTTCTAATTTTAAAGACCAATGGGAACAAATAAAATATATAAAAGAAAAAGGTCAATGGGAATGTGTCTATGCTGTTGAAGACACATTTATTATTCTCTGATCTTTCCCTGATTAACTCCTACAAATAATAAGTTTGTTTGTACTTATCTTTCTGAGTCACTGTATTTCCTTGGCATAACTGCTGCTTCTTCATATTAGAATAATGGAGAGTGCTGAATCTTGCCTTACTTGTTTTATAATAAAAAGAAAATATATACAGTCATCTCCCCTAATCTGGGGTTTTATTTTCTTCATGTTCAGTTACCTATACCACTGGAGCAGGAAAATATGATGTGGAAAACTCCAGAAATAAACAGTTCATAAGTTATAAGTAATTTTCATTATAGTATATCGTTTTAATTGTTCTATTCCATTATTAGTGATTATTGTTAATGGCTTATTGTGCCTTATTTATTTTATTTTAAAATAAAGGCTTATTGTGCCTTTATTTTTTCATCATAGGTATATATAAGAAAAATACAGTATTTATATAGTTTGGTGCTGTATAGTTTTGGGGGCTCCCCCGGGGGTCTTGGAACTATTCCCCAATCATGTACTGCAGGGCTGGGAAGTGTAGCTCAGTCGTAGAGCACTTGCCTAATGTGTGAGGCCTGGGTTCAATCCCCAGCGTTGGGGGGCGGGGGGGAGAGTACTGTAAATAGCTAAAGAACTAACTACAGCAGACTTACTTGGTAGCACTGACCTATGAGTACAGTTTTTACATTTACCAACAGAGAAGTGACCTGAGTTCAGAACTATTGCTGTCACATGGGAAACCAAAGAGCCCACGTATTTCAGAGAAGTTGAACATCAGTAGCTATCAGAGAGAAGAGAAAAACAAAAGGCTATGACTTTCTTAACTAAGAAGAAAACTGGGTTTAAAGAATTAAAATAATCTATCTCTACTGTCCTGAGAACTTGATGAGTTTTCAGAACTTCAGTGATTATAAATTTCTCATATTTTGTTTTCCATCTAAAAGTCACTGAATTACTTACAAATCATTCAGATGAAAACATATTAAGAGGCAGAAATATGAGCTGAGATTTTTATAACTTTGCTCTTTGTTAAATATTTATAGCATTAAAAAAAAACCCTGACAATAATTCTTTCCTGATTTCAAAATCTTCATCATGTCAAATACCTGAATGATATGAAAGTTTTCTTGATAACCCCAGCCCTAATTATACAAATACATTCTCTCTCTCTCTCTCTCCTAAGAGCTGGGCCCTTAGCCTCCCAAATACTTCCAACCTCCTATAAATCTTTTCTCTGGAATCATGAATTTTACACATCCCTATTTTTATGAAGTCATTATTGCTGTCTGCCTAGCACTTTGGTTACTTACATATGTTTCGTTTGTTTCTAGAGTGTCAGGGCTGATTAATAGGAGCTGTCCCACTACAAACTGTTGATCCATAGAGGCTGCCCGGAGCATAGGACAGGAAAGACTCTGAGGCCACCAAGTGGCTTGGTGGAAAAGAGCAACTGGATTAATCATTGTCTTCTGGTGGGTGGGTAGGAGGGCAGCACTTATGCCAGGCATTTGCTAGCCTCTGCCCCTGTGAGGATCTTTCTGGGTTTTGTTCTTGTTGAATGCCTTGGAGCTAAACAAATGGTTCCTCTATAGAGTGATGGAGGGTAGGAAGAAGGATCACAGCCTGTGTTCTAAAAAGTGTCAATTAGAGCTGATCAATAGAAGCTGTCCCACAGCGACCCCCTCACAGAAATATGAGCTCATTCTACAGCAGTGTTATGGCCCCTGAAGATAGGTACATGCTCACTTCCTGATGCCTTTTTGCTACCCTCCTCCTCCTCCTCCTCCCCCTCCCCCTCCCCCTCCTCCTCCCCCACCCATCCCAGTGGAATTTTCCTATCATCCTCTTCCTTTAGACACCTCCCTTAGAGTGGGACCACAGGGAATGCAGCTTATCTGCAGTGGGTGTAGGGGGCGCTCTACCACTGTATGAGCAACCCTGGAGACAACATGGCAGAGAATTGCCATAATAAGGCAGGCAAAGCTGGACACTCTTTGCCCTCATCCTGCCCCATCTCCCTGGCTTACTGTGCTCTACTCTTTGCACAAGAGCTGACATTCATCAAAAAAAGCTCAATGACTTTCCATTTACTCAGGTTAAGGAGATCTTCCAGGATGGGCTGGGAAATGAAGCACTTAAGAAGAACTTCTGAGCATTAAAAATCCTACCCCTTACCTGGCTATTCCAGTTACCAGCACAGAAAAGTAATTATTATTAACTTTGGTTGCTCAGTGGTTGTCTCTAAGTGCAAACATTAGTCATTGGCCTACCACTTAAGCTGTTTCCTTATTTTTCCATCAAAATGACTCACTTTTAAACACTTAAATGACTTTATAAGAAAAACTTTGGATCAGTTTTATGAGTACAAACAGTACCACTTGATATAAAAGAAGGAATCCCTAAAAATATTTTTCTTCTTTTTGGTAGTGCTAGAGATCAAACCCAGGGCCTCAGGCATAATAGGCAAAAACTACCACTGAGCTACATCCCTAGACCTAATCATCCTAAAAATTAACACATTAAAATATGTCAATAAATAGTAAGATTTATAAAAAACCAAATATATGTGTCAGAGCACTGCCCATGGCCACCTGACATACATCGGTGGTCAAGAAGATCACTAAGTGTTTTCTCGTCATAACAGTAAAGCAGAAATATGCCTGAGTTACCTTATTAGTTCTTGATTTTCCTCATAATAATGTTTAAATTTTCCTCTTCCTGTACTCAGTAAGAAGGATGTAATATATTATTTAAAAAGGCAATTATTTTCTAAGTAACACCAAATGTGTGAAAGTATTTTAAACTATGAAATATACCACTTCCCCCAAGTCTGTTGAAGCACAATTCTTATAGATTTTATTTTAAAGGCATTTTGGTTCATGAAAATTGAAAAAGTGATTTTTGTTTTAATCTGTCGGATAGCCACAAAATATTAAGTTTCAGAAAGTTCTGTTTCTACATTCAAGAAATTGCTTTTTAAAACTTAATTTTCAGATCGTCTTTGATAAATTTTCTAATCATCTTTAATAAAGCAACTGCCACTGTATTTTGTTCAATTCCCTGACTTTTTTAAGTCTGTATGTCCACATGAAAATCTGCATTTTTAAGCATAAGCAAAATCTACTTTTTTGAGGTTAATTTCCTTAAATTCTGTGTGTCTATGTAAGTATTATATGTTGTTCTCTCCCAGACCAATTTCTCCATAAAAGCAGCTTTAAAAAAAAAAAAAAAAGTAAATAACAACTGATGTGTTCATAGTACCTTGACAGAATGATTATGGAAATCTGTAACAATAATCTCATTATTGCTATTTACAGCTGCAAAATGAGGACCTGCAATAAAAAATGGAAAAAAAAATTATGTAATGACTACAACAACAAAAATAATTGCAACAGAGCAGTTACTATAACAATAACAAACTGAATACATTAACTTGATTATTTAAGAAAGAACAAATAACCAGAGACCCCGATCCCTGCATGATCATATAGCCAGCCCTTTGTGCTCTAGATAATGTGGATCCTATGTTATTCTACACTTGGGATTGTCTAGTCTGACTTCTCCCGGATCAAGCAAAGAGTTCCAGCAGCCCTAACAAAGTAGGACCAGCAGTAAGCATCAGAATTCATTCTCCACACCATCATCTGAAAGTCACACCTGCCAGCTTCTCTGAATACATTAGTCTTTTTTTAGGATCCTAAAAAAAAAGTGTTTACTAAGGAAAGATATGAGGACACTTAGCCCTGGAAAAGAGACTCCAGTATGTATTTTTTTCTTTTCTAAAAAATTGAGCAGGAAACCCACTTTCATAATTTGGAGTGACATTCAGAACCTGGCAGGACAAAGAACTGGAGACAAAGCACAAAGAAAGATTATGCAAATGAATGTAAAATGCCCAAAGCATCCTTTCAAAACGAAAATGAACTGTGTTCAGCCTCTTCTTGCAGATGTGAAAAAACCGAAGCTTGTGATTGCTAAGTGGCACTCCCAGAAGATAAGTAAGAGACTTCCTCCCTGCACTTGGCAAACATTCTGAACCCTGTTCTCATAATAACTTAGGTGAAATAAATTCCAACTAGAGGCTCTTTAAATAAAAATTCAGTATGGAAAACAGGAGTTACTCCATTGTTCCTCAAAGAGTTTTATTTTTAAAATGTTTTATTTTAAATGCATATTTTACTTAACATAAATATTTGAGGAGCAGACTTGTGCACTGTGAATTGGGACCCCACAGCAACCACACATGAACTGCAGTCTGACTTACTGGTGGAGTAACTGAAAAGCATCTAAGCATGCTTCAGCTTAGATTTCATCCCCAGCATCTTTCCCCAAAGCCAGCAAACACCCTGGGGATGTGGCGTCTTCAACATGCTCCATCATGCAAATGTGAGCAGAAGAAGCATAAAAAAGGGGGTTTACATATTACCGTCGAGTGTACCTGCAAACTGCCTGTCCCCATTTCCTCGGCTACCAAACCTGGTGACTATTTTCCCATTTGGTTGGAAGATAAACACGCAGCATGCTTTGTTGTCCACCACAATAATGTGCCCGTTGCGGTCCACAGAAACTCCTTTGGGCCCCATCAGCTTTCCCGATCCAATTTTTGTCTGTTAGAAACAAGTGCAGAAATTGAGTACAGACCTCAAAGTTTAACACTAGAGAACATGAAGTTAGACACTGTTTCAGTAAACGTTGGCTCGAATGTTCAGGCTGCACAGGTACTCAGGCACCCAGTGATCTCTGTCTCAGCAAATTGGCTTTGTCACATCTAGTATCTGCTATGAGTATTTATACGAAAATCTTATTTTAAAAGGGATCACCACCACCAAAAATGTTCTAGAATTTCCTAGACTGGGGTCACAATACCCTCTTCTAAAGAGGTGGTGTAGTTGAGTGACAGGTCACTGGGTTAGGAGTCAGAGAATTGTCCTGCTGCTGTCACCTGCTTTCAGCACCCCCGATGTGGCCCAAATTTAATTCCTTTTATTTCCAGATTTCTTATCTATTAAAAAAAAGTCAAAAAAACCCCCACCAACCTTAATAACTTTCAATGGTACTTCTAGAATATGTGTTAAGTAAAATAATGTAGGTAGGGCTGGGGTTGTAGCTCAGAGTGCTTGCCTAGCATGTGTGAGGCACTGGGTTCGATTCTCAGCACCACATATAAATAAAATAAAGGTACACTGACAACTAACAAAAATTTAAAAAATAATAATAATGTAGGTAAAGGGTTTAATGTAGAGCACACAGTAAGCACTCACTAAAAGGAAGCCATTGTTGTTATTGTTACCTAGCACTCTTGATGTTGAAACTGCCAGGCATCTGCCACTGACGTTGACTAGAATTCAGTTCCACATGAGTGGAAGTCACGTCTGTTTTATCCACCACTTCCTGGTACTCAACAAGAATTTACTAAATAAACTTTAAAAGACTGGATTATTAGTGGGTAATCATGATGAAATGGTTTCACTCTTCACTTTATTTTAAAAGGACAGAAAAACATGAGATTGCTATCAACCATGCATCATAAACACTTTAAGTTTCATTCATGTTCCTGAACCAATTAAATTTAATGAATACATAAATGCATGTTGGAGATGCAGTTTAACTTAGTATTATTTTTCTAGCTCCGTTTTATGGAGTGCTCATAAAGAACTGCTTCACGCATTTACCTCTACTTACTAGCTCTACAGATCTGAGCACCCACCATGTACTCAATATTGTGTTCCAGGCTTGTGGTAAATAAACACAGATAAGACACAGCTTCTGCCTCAGGATGTCTCTGTCACACTGGCACCCACGCCTCAAGCATCAGAGGGAAACACATCTATGTGTGTTTTTATGAGAGCTCTTTCAGCTATATTATTGAACAAAGCAAGGTATTGAGTAGGGAGTAGAGTCTGAGTCCACTTGGGTTAAATGTATGCATACAGGCATGTACTGTATAGTCAGCCCAAGCATCCTGGGCTCTGCAAATGCAGGCTCAACAAATCTCAGATTGAAAATATTCAGAAGACAAAAGAAAAAAAGTCTGTGTGTGTGCTGAACTTATACAGATTTTTTTTTTTTTTTTGGTCACTATTCCCTTAACAATATAGCATAACAACTATAAACATTGTCATTTACATTGTAGTAGGCATTATAAGTGATTTAGAGATGATTTAAAATATACAGGAGAATGTGACTAGTTTCCATGCAAATTCTACACCATTTATCTGAGGGACTTGAGCATCCTCAGGTTTGTTATCTAAGGGGTGGGAGGTTGCTGGAACCAATTCCCCATGGACACCAAGGGACAATGGTACTTCTGAAAGGAAAAGTGAGAAACCAGTGTCTGTACCTTAGAAAGCGGTATCAGTGGTGGCAGGAGACACACTCACTGTTCATTTTATACTCTTAGGCACATCTTAAAAGCCTATTTTCATGTATAACTTTTTAAATTAAAAATTAACAACCCCCCCCCCCAATAACATTCTCATAGATTCGACCCCAGACCTCTAAATTTACTAGCAGAGGGTGGGTGGGTGCTTTCTCATGGTAGGGATTCAGATTTGGTACAACCCTTTATTCTTCCAAGTTTATAAATGACTGAGATTCAGACTTAATCTCTCTGGACAAAGGAACACAATCAGAGCAAGGAAACCCTGGTTTTCTTGGCAAAGGAATCTGTTGTGTAAATTTGATTCTGATTCTGCAATCTAGCCCAGAGATCAAAGAGGCTACAGCATAATGGCATGTAAAGAAATGGCATAATTCTTTCATGTCTGAATGGAAGGGGCGTCAACAGAGATCAAAAGAAGAGCCGGCAATCTGATTACCACCACCCAATGTTATGAACACTAGCAGTTACTTAGAATGACGCAACCACACAATACCTAATGGATAACTACCTAGAACAAAAACGGACAATAAGGTATGCCCTCCATTCTGTCATGTAATGACAACCAGGGTAGACCTAAAAGAACTACTTACATGTTGAACCCAAACTTCTTTTCCTTTCCCTTCCACCATCACTCTGGTTTTGCTACACTGGATTCTACCAGTAAAATAAAAATCATCTGGATTGACTGCGTCCCCTCTGTTAGAATAAAACGCAAAAACCTCTAAACTGGCTTTGGAATGATCAAATGAGAGTATTTAACTGAACAATTAGGTTCTTAAATTGAAGAGGGAAGAGATGAGATATTTTAGAATTCGGTGGCCATGGGGACCACCACCATATTTGTTGTGTGTTTGTTTTGATCACAAAGGTTCCTGGATGGACTAGAAGATTCAAGACAGAAGGGAAGATGAAAAGGAAAAACCTTTAAGGAGGCAGAGAGGAATAAAACTTGAGACAAGCAATCAGTGAATAAAAGAGAAGGAAAAAATAAGATGTTACATCTCTGCAACTATTAGGAATAAATACAAAGAATCTGCAGTGAGGTTAAAGATGTCTTTCACTTGTTTAATTTTCCCAAAAGAAAAAAAGCAAGAATATCTTGATAGTATAGATTTCACACTTGAATGAACTCTATTTGTAATACTAAAGTATTTTTGCTTGCTATCCTTTTACCATTGGGTTCTGATCAACAATCTTAAAGGGTATTGCAGAAACTATACCATATCCATTTCCCCATTCCTCCAGAGGGCGAGAGTGGCTTTTAGTGTTTATTCCAACTAATACCAATATTATTCCAACTCCAAGCCTCCAGTTCTTCCAAGAAGAGTGTATATAATAGGTAGTAATATACGTGTAATATAGTGTATATTACACAGTAGAGTGTATATTACTCTTGAGGAAATGCTTCTCTCTTAGATATCAAACTCCTGCCTTCATATGTGAAACTTATTTCAGTATTAGCTCCTGAATGTACAGACAGACCATGATTTTTCTAGAATCCAAAACAAGAACAAACAGGTTGCCTCCAAACTACATGAAGGTTTTTGAGAGGTCATTCAAGAGTTTTCATTGCATCCATATTAGAGTTGTCACATTTGGGTATGTATGTCTTACCCAAATATGATGATAAATCACTAACGAGCAAACTTTATGCCATCATCAGGGAACCAGAATGGGTTATGAAAAGTGGCCTCTCTAGAGTATTAGGTTGGAAATAATGACCACCAGGTATCCACATGACATCCTGGAGTCAAGAATCATGGCTGGTCAAACAGACTTCATTTTTTTTGAATGGGGTTATGAAAGGCATGGAAAAGAACATTTTTTAGATATCTATTTAGTATGAGGCACATATGACATCCAGAAATAAAACCTCATTTAGTCCTTACTCAGATCCTATAAGTTTTTTATTTAATCCAAATTTTAAATATGCAGCTGCTGAGGTTCAAGGAAGTTTCATAATTTAATGGAGGCCAAAGAACTAATAAGCCACAGAGATGGATTTCTAGTTGCTTGATTTGTCTGAGTAAAAGTTCATATTGTCAACTCAAACAGAAGTCTCTAATAGTTTGAATAAGGGGAATAGAGAAGGCATAATACATATGGTCATCAAAAAGACTTTTAATGTACACAATGGACTGGATGATAACAATTCTGGATGATACCTTAGAAGAGAGATTTCTGTTATTACCACTGGGCTGTCTTTGGTGACTCATTGAAGAAATAGAAGCTGTTATGGTTTGGAACTTAAATGATTCTCCAGGCCATATGTTAAAGACTTGGTCACCAGCATGTGGTGCTGTTGGGAGCTAGGGCCTAGGAGGAGGAAGTTAGCATTCAGGATGTACCTGTGAAGGGGATACTGGCTCCTTCCTCTTTTTTTCTGCTTCCCTGCAGCTATGAAGTGAGCAGTTTCCTGTGTCCTGTTTACCCACTATGATGATTCCACAATGGGTAAAAAACAACAAGGCCAAACAACCAGGGACTGAAGCTTCCAAAATTATAAACCAAAATGGGTCTCTCTTCCTCTTAAAGTTGACTTTCTCAGGTATTTTGTCACAGCAACAGAAAGCTGACTAACACCAAAACCATTTTTACATTTCCATAAATAAGATAGTGGGAGTAACAGAAAACAAGTCAAATGATGGCAGGATCCCTCAAAGTGTAGCTCAACCTGCATCTTTTCTTTAAGTTCAGCCTCCATTTTCTTTTCCTTTCAAATCTTATGTTCCTTAGCACAATGTTTTTAGATGGTATGAAATAACTTATGACTGATTAGAGGCTGCCATGAATTATTTCCTGTCCTTTCTTGTATATTTATCTTTTTTCCTCCCTGAGCTTATACATTTTTTAGAAGGCAGAAACCATGTCTTATGATTCTGTTTCATTCTGTTTCTTCCATGTCATCTGTTTCAGGCCTGAGAAAGTAGAAGGCACTTCTATGTGACAAGTTATAGGTTAATGCAAGGGTATAAATTGCTTCTTCCTAACCCTTTTCGAAAGGATGATGTTTTTCATTGAAATGGGGTCATAAGGACAGTTTTCCTCTAAATCTGGTTAAAAAAAAGTACCTGTGCAAACTAATTGCTCTATAAAACGAAAACACATTTATGAGCATCTGTATGAGCAGGTTTATAAAAACAATCATTGTTATTCTCATTTTACAACATTTAGATGAAAGAATATCTTTGTGTAGGAAGAATTGTTGAACATTGGATTGGATTTAAAAAAGAAAAAGAAAAAGACCATTTCAACTTTTATTTCCTATTTCCTCTTCTCTATGGTTTAGTGGTCTATTGATACTTGAGCTTACCTTAAACTTTCCATCTGATGAGAAGATGCTAACCCACTTATTATCATAATCTGCAATGATTATGTCCCCACTGGGGTGCACGGCTACTCCTGTGGGCCTCTGCAGCTGCCCGGGAGAGCGTCCTCGTATGCCAAAACGGCTCTTGAACTGGCCATCGTTGGAAAATATCTGTAAAACAATTTATGTTGATTGGAATGTTCACAGAAACCACTCAGGAAGAAACAGGCAAGGAGATCCGTCATAGATACTATAGGTTAGGACATGCCAACACTGTTAAGAAAAGCCTACAGACACATTAAAAGGCTCTTGGGGCTGGGATTGTGGCTCAGCGCTAGAGCGCTTGCCTCGCTCACACTGAGTTCGATCCTCAGCACCACATAAAAATAAATAAATAAAATAAAGATATTGTGTCCAGTTACAACCAAAAAATAAATATTAAAAAAAGGCTCTTTCCTTAAGTACATGTCTGTAGACACGAATGGTGTGACTCCACATTGTGTACAACCAGAGATATGAAAAACTGTGTTCTATACGTGTAATATGAATTGAAATGCATTCTGCTGTCACATATAACAAATTAGAATAAATTTTTAAAAAAGAAAACAACCACTGATTTAAAGGCAGCATTAATCAGTATAGTTTAATCAATTTCAGCACAAATTTATTCTGGAATAGTACTGTGAAGATCTGTTCAGACTATTAAAAAGATAAATGTGAAATGAACACAAAAAGGTTCTTGTCTTATTGGAACTGAGTGACTGAAATGAATTTCGATAGCAGTCGCTTGGGTTAGAGTGGGCTGTAAGTGGTGTTGAAAAAGGTCAGTTCAGTTGTCTGCCTGTTAGCAGTGTTACTTGCCAGGTTGTCTAGATCTGGTTTGGGCCTTAGCATACGATGAAGTTCTTTCATTTTCTCTTCACACATACGGCACATGTTAGAAGATAACGCATCATATGTTGTTGCCTTATGAACTCCTTATAAAATTCTTTTAGATGTTCTAAAATGTATATTAACATTATGCATGCATTTATATGTAAGATTCCTAAAAAAAAAATGTTGTGCTAAATGGTTAAAGTACATAACAGATTTGTTGGTAATTTATGCAATGAATTAATATTCTAGATTGTTTTAAAGATATAAGTACTTATTTCCAGATTCTACAATCTGATTATAACCAATATCAAAATTTATATTGTTTATTTTGATTTTGTTCTACATTTACACATCATATTAAAGGATAGAATATGTGTGAATGAACATGGAAAAAAAAGGCTCTTTCCTTGTACTATGAATCTTAAGTCTAAAGTTGGAAAATATGTAACTATATTGGTTTTATTAATATAAGTAGTTAAAGGTACACAGTAGGGACTCTACCTGGACACATTGGTTGTTACTGTCTGCAATTAATATCTTTCCAGTTGTAGATGCAGCTACCCCCTGAAGATTCGTAAACTCTCCTTTATTTCTTCCTTTGGTTCCTAAAAATAAATGATAAAAGCACAAAAATCAAGCACAAGAGAATTTGATTTCTCAGTTTCAGAAGGGAATAACTCAAGCTTCCATTGATAATCTGAGAATTCATTGTTTTTATTTTATATTTCCTTTTCTTGTAGGGCTAGGGATTGAATCTGGGGCCTTATGTGTGTTAGAATGAGCTATACAATTCCCAGCCCCTACACTGTGTTTAAATAATACTTTTTTAAAAAAATGAGATCCCTTCCTCTATGACTTAACCCATATGCTACTGAACTTTTCTTCCAGACCAATAAAGTTTTTGCAAGATCATTATTTTAGGGCTGGGGTTGTGGCTGAGTGGCAGAGTGCTTGCCTAGCATATGTGAGGCACTGAGTTTGATTTTCAGCACCACATAAATAAATAAATAAATAAATAAATAAATAAATAAATAAAACAAAGGTCTACCAACAACCAAAAAAACAAAAATTTTAAAAAATCATTTTTTAGGCAAATGCAACCTTCTCATATTAATCTATACATGCATATTTACTTGATTAAAACATACCAAATTCCACAAAGACATAATAATAAAAATGAATATTCTAATCAATGAGATGCAACAAGAGAGGAGCTTTACTTTAGGAATTTTGTCAAAACTCTACCTTCTTACTCAGTAGCTCTTAGAAGAAAACTAGACCCTTGATTTTCAGAGCATTTAACAAACTATAAGACCACAGATAGTATGAAAGGGCAGGCTGATTTGCATATACTGGATCCATTTATGCATTATTTTCTAAGATTCAAGATCTCAATAACTGTGTATTCTTCCTGAAATTACAAAAGGTATCCCAACAGGGTACTTTCCAGATTAAGTAAATTAGAAAGACAAAGGGAAATTAATACAAGGAAATATTCTCACCCTTTTTTTTTTTTTGATTGGTACTAGGGATTGAACCCTGGGGCACTTTACCATTGAGCTACCTCCCAAGTCTTTTTATTTATTTATTTATTTTCATTTTTTTAATGGTACTGAGGATTGAATGCAGAGGCATTTCATCATTGAGCTACAATCCTAGCCGTTTTATTTTTTTATTTTAAGACAGGGTCTCATTAAGTTGCTTAGGTCCTTGATAAATTGCTGAGGCTGGCCTTGAACTTGTGATCCTCCTGCCTCAACCCTCTGAGTGGCTAGATTTAAGGGCATGGACCACTGCCCCCAGCTAGACTCGTTTTTTTAAAGGGACAGATAAGGCAGAGGGAAGAAAAGCAATAGCACCTATAGGTTAACAGTTATCTGTTTTTGTTTCAAAAGATGTTTTTATAATTTACTTCAATAGAACTATATAAGTATCAATGGATGGAAACAGAGTAAGCTTTGTTCCAGAACAAATGATCCAGAAGAAGGTGTAAATTTTAATTGTTTGAGAAAGAAAACTATGTCTTGGTTTTATAACTGAGTTTTATACTCAAAAGAACCATTTGATGATTTTGTTTTTAGACATCAACACAGTGCCTTAGGAACAAGGACACGAGGACCCCCGTACACAAGGACCCACCGAGGTTGGCTGACATCTAACACCTGCAGAAGTGCCACCTGGGAATCCTGAGCATCAGCTCTCCTGAAACAGATTTTTGGGTTTAAGAAATGAATCTGGTGATGGATTACAGCAGAGCTGCTTGGATCTCAAATGGGCTGGTTCTCACTAGACCCACATGGCTGTCACCTGATTGAAGTCACATCAGGTCTGCTCACTACTTCTGCATCTCGTCTACTCTCACCAGGATGAAAGGAAACTTGTGAGGTCCAGCTCCTCCAAAGAGCTTTTCCTACATTGTGAAGGAAACCGTACTGTTTTATTTCAAATGTACCTGAAGAGAGGATCTTTTATACTTGATCCACACAGAATACCCTGGATACACAGGAATATGGCATCAGGGAACATGCTTTAAAAATGATATGTTGGAGCCGGACATTGTGGTGCACACCTGTGCTCCCAGGTACTTAGGAGACTGAGGCAGGAGCATCACTTGAGCCCAGGAGTTCAAGGCCAGCCTGGGCAACACTGCAAGACCCCCATCTTTAAATAAATAAATAATGTGAGGAGGCATCTGGTGGTAGAAGGCAGAGGAAGGAGTGGTTAGCCCTTTAAGGGGATGTGTTATTCATTTTTGGTCATTTCTCCTGATTTCTATATAACTGAACAACAGATATAGCACAACTGAAGGACCACAAAAAGGAAGAGTTCTACAACATTTAGTCTAGAAATACTGTTAAAAGGTAGTAAAGGAAAGGTCAGGACTTCCAAAGAACAAAAATAAAATTTTTTCAAAAATATTTAATCAGCAAAAGCAGTGAGTGAATTTTGCAAAACGAGAAATGCACGGCCAGTTAAAGAAACATAGTTGAAAGAAGAGTCTTAGAACTCTCATTGGAACATGAACAAAAGAAGAAGTGACTCTGTAAAGAAAACCCAGGCTGCTGTAGATCATTGCTTACATAGAATTGGAGATGCAGCTGGGGCTTGGAGGGCGCAGAGGTACAGGTAAGAAATACCGAAGGTTGGGGCTGGGGCTGAGGCTGGGGCTCAGTGGTAGAGCGCCTGCCTACCTCATCAACATGTAAAAAAAAAAATAAATAAATAAAATACAGATATTATTTACAAGTAAAAAATATTAAAAAGAAAGAAAGACATAGCCCACTTGAATCAAAGTGTGGAATATGATATGTCAAGAAATTTGTAATGTTTTGAACAACCCACAATAAAAAATTAAAAAAAAAAAAAAAGAAAGAAAGAAATACTGAAATGTAATGAGAGGGGGCACAGGAAGGCCCGGGTGGAGTAGAGAAACACTGACGTGCTGTTCTTTTGGTCAGGCAGGGACAAAATGCCTGCAACTCTCCCTCATTTGATCTTCTGTCTGTTGCTTATTCATTCAGAGAAGACTCAGCAGGCAGCAGCAGTAGATAAAGGAAAAGGGGGAAATGGAGAAGATAGTTAAGTAGAAGTCAGAAAGATCCCTCTTGCCTTCTGGAAACACTGAAGTGATGCTGCAAGACAGGAAATAGAGAAATAAAAACACACTCTTGTGCGTGTGGTGTGGAGAAATGAACATTCTTTTTGAACCTCAGTAGAATCAGAAATAATTGCATTTGGAAGACAATTAAACTCCCTACTAATACTGTTGAGACTCAGGGAAAGGAAAGCCTACATCCCCCTGATGTGAGGGGCTCAGTAGCTGCCAATACGAGGTCACCAGAGCAATGGAACTATGTTGCAAGCAAACACGCTGCTGGAAGAGTGTGTACTTACAAGTTTTTTTTTTTTTTTCTGTCTACTTTGATGTCAAAGATTTCATTTGATGGTTATCCAGAGGCTGGAAAAATGAATAATGTGAATTTTGAAAGGAACTATGAACAATTTATCAATAATCCCATAAGGTCATTAAAGGAGTTTTTCCAGATGCTAAACTAATCTATGAAGCATAAAGTGAAGTTGTAAGTCCAAAGCTTGTCACCCATGTTCTTCCAGGTCACTTCTACCCACCCTTCCAGGAGGATGACAGAAGTAAGGTGAACCCGTGCATTGAATGGGGATCAACAGATGCAGTTTCCCTCTCACTACCCACTCCAACTTAGTGTGAAAATTCATGCTCAATAAAGCAAAAATACTCTGAATGGAATAGCGCAACAAAATCTAACTGAGCCACATATCGCCTCTAACAGTTTCGTCAACCATGCAGGTGGGTCACACATGTTTGCTGAATGAACGAGGGCGGAAAAAGACAGGCCACGTTACAGCATGGGAAAATGAAATATTCTAATGTGTTCATAGCACCTCATGTACATTATCTCACGTACTCTTTATAATAATCCCATGAGTTAGCAGAACAAATACTACCTTTCCACTTTATAGATGAGCAAGTTGAAGCTAGCCACATCACACATGTAGTTAGTGACAATGGAAAGAATAAAACCGGGTTCTTCTGACCTTTACGTAACAATTCCAACATATACATTGCTTCTTTCTAATTAGACTTTAAAATACCAGGTTTCAAAGGTAAGGGTAATTATGCTCTGGGCTTACGCTGGTCATATTTTTCTATTAATATCCTTTAGAAAACTCCATCCCTATCACACAGCATTTTAACTGCCTGTCTGTATCCCTGGCTAGACTGTAAGCTCCCTGAGGCCAGGAGCAGCATCTGCCCTATTCACTGCTACACTCTATACTGCAGTGCTACTGTGAGGATCTTGAATGTCTGGGCCCCCAGCCTGTGGTGCTATTAGGAGGTGGTGGAACCCTCAGGAGGTAGAACCTAGTGGCAGGAAGTCAGGTCATTGAGGACATGCCTTGGGGGAGTGGTGATACTGGAACCCCAGGGGTACTGCTTCCTCACTGCCATGAGGTGAGCAGCTTCCTTCACAGCTGCTGCCTGGCCACAGGCCCAAAAGCAAAGAAGCCAAATGACCATGGACTGGAATCTCCAAAATGAGGAGCCAAAATAAATCTTTGCTCTTTTTTAGTTGATTATAATCATGGAGTTTGTTGTAATCATGGAAAGCTGACTAACAAGGATGAGATTCTTGAGGGGTGGGGCAGGGTTCCTATAATGACCTTAGATGTCAAATTAGCATGAACTTCCTCCTCACATATTTTAGGGAGAGGGTGGTGGCTTGCTGAGGTAAGGCAGGGGTAAATGCATCTTCCTCTGAATGCATGCTAAGTGGCTTTACACACCCATTTTAAATTACACCGTTGCAGAGTACAAATGAGTGTTCCATTCAACTCTCCATCAACATGTAAAGGTATGGCGTATGAATCACACAATTTCAAACAATTCAGTTGTAATTCTTCCCCTCCCTCCCACATCTTCCAGTTCTACCTTTGTTCAATGATTTTCTTTAGTAGGAAACAAAACCGGCTCATGGCTTCTAATCAGCAAACTCTAATAGTCTGGGGGGAAAGAATCCCTGGGTTCAAGGAATCATCCTCAACAGATGCTCTAGGCTACTTCTTTAAA